TCTCTCTCTCTCTCTCTCTCTCTCTCTCTCTCTCTCTCTCTCTCTCTCTCTCTCTCTCTCTCTCTCTCGCGCGCGCGCGCGCGCGCGCTCTTCCCCACCCCCTCTTTTTAATTTCAATGCAACTACACTCATGCAAAAACAGCTACACACGCAAAAGCATTCTAACGCATCCAGTGCAGAAGACAGGCAAACATACAACCCCCATTGTTGAAGAATTACTGCAGCTATGCAATAACAAAAAGCAAAACAAATCATTGGAGGATAACTGGTTGAGATGACACGTACTTGTGCAGTGCTCTCGGTAGTGTCTTCGCGTGCATTGATGCTGTCCTTCATTGCTCCCTGGTTGGGCTGGAGGAGAACCTGAGTCAAGCTGCAATACACAAACTGAGCTTCCATCACTTCCAACATGTCACACACAGATTCAATAGCCACACAGCAACTTTTGACCCTTGATTACCAGTTAGACATCATTGCCACCGTCAGGAATGCGAACGGTTAATGAGCCATCGGTTCTCTATGGAACGTTCGCTGTACTGCAGAGAGGGCAACAGGAACATTGCACCCCCTGACTGAAACATGGCGGCAAAACAATCCCGATACAGATTGAAGAATCAACCAATACAAATGCAGGTGACCAGAGCGTGAGACAAACAGGCACGTAAACGAAATGCCCAACGAGATGCGTTCACAACACTAGGTTGGGCGGCATTCCATCCCATCTCTCTGATTGCAGTCCTCTCCATCCCCTCTTTGATGATAGAGCAGGCAAATGATACCAACATTCCGACCGAGATGCCAAGCTGACATCAGAGACCACAATTTTGTAAATGCCCAAACAGGTGTAGCTCGCGGACTCACCCAAAACATGTGCGGAGCTGAAGACAACCTTCATGAAGAAACTGTTGAGCTTCACTAGATCCCTTACTTGCCGCCAGCAGACACATCCTCGCACAGGCCTCATAGGCAATAACCCTTTGCCAAGTAGTTTCTTGACCACTGACAAATAGGTACAGCAGCACAAAAGAAGGGAAATGTAAGTATATAGTGCATGCGTTCTCCTCCACTTTTGTACAGCACAAAGGCAATAACCGAGTAGTTGGCACTATTTTTACCGTTCAGTGGTTAAAAGATAGATCATAACCCTCCATTGATTACATTGAAAACCTCAATTGCTTAAATGACAGGACAAACAGCAAAAAGCTCTGCATGTAATTTTGTTCTCGCTGACGTAAGACACCCGCTCTGCAAACTTATTTGCCTCATAAAGCTGACGTAAGGCCCTGCTCGCGCTAAGCGAAGGGGGACCTACAGAAATGAGCCCAGGCCTGAGAGCAGAATGGTGCCCCCAGGTAGCTGCTACATGCGTGCAGCTTCTTCAAATAAGCGGTAGGCCCCGCCCACAAGCTAGTTTAAGATGTTGGGCCTCATGCAGATTCTGGAAGGGCCCAGGGTACCCGGACTGCACGCAGCATGGGCACAGGCTGCACAGCCTCTTCAGCCGGCACAAAAGGCTGAAGGACTCAGCACTACACACATTTGGGCATTCAGCATGCGGCAGCGCAGCGCAAGCGGATGCTTAGCGCATGCGCTTGAAGGAGGAAGCTGCGTGGTGGCAGCGGGGAGAGAGAAGGGGAGTGGCAGCCATAGCCAAGATGCACACTCCCTAGCCGGGTGGTGGAGTAACGGTGGTCCTTTGGTGCAAGAAAGGTGTGGAAGAGAAGGAAGAGAGGCAGTGTGACGAGGCACACAGTTGCTATTGACGAAGCCAGGCTGTTCGCTCAGAGTCTTCAAGCGGCATTGGGCTGGTCCGATAAGAGTTGTAGGAAGAGTCGGCGGTCAGGTTACCTGTAGGAGGGCTACATTGTTGTTGTACTGGTGATTGGGTGCAATGGAAGGGCTTTCATTATCAAGAGCCTTCAGTGCTCTACTCACTCCTATTTGGTGTGATACTCGCTTTGATTTTTGCTTTCAATTTCGGTTCAATGATGTCTGGTGTTCTGTGAGATCTCGCATTGCTTATTTGCCTGCAAAAGCTTATGCTCGCCAACAACCACCCACCCCCCCATAACAACCCTACAACTCTCTCTCTCTCTCT